GCAGAGGGATCTCGGGGTCCATGTCCACAGTTCCCTGAAAGCTGCCACCCAGTTGGATAGAGTTGTTAAGAACGCAGATGGTGTGTTAGCTTTCATTAGTAGAGGGATCAAGTTCAAGAGCCGTGAAGTTATGCTCCATCTATACAAAACCCTGGTTCGGCCACATCTGGAGTGTTGTGTCCAGTTCTGGTCGCCTCATTACAGGAAAGATGTGGAAGCGTTGGAAAAGGTGCAGAGGAGATTTACCAGGATGTTGCCTGGAATGGAGGGAAGGTCTTACGAGGAAAGGTTGAGACAGCTAAGGCTTTTCTCTTTAGAGCAACGAAGGATGAGAGGTGACTTGATAGACGTGTACAAAATGATCAGAGGTATAGATAGAGTGGACAGCCAGAGACTTTTTCCTTGGGTGGAGGTCGCTATTACGAGGGTGCATAGTTTTAAAATGAGTAGCGGTAGATATAGGAGAGACATCAGAGGTAGATTCTTTACTCAGAGAGTGGTAGGGGCCTGGAATGCATTGCCGGAGAGGGTAGTGAAGTTGGCCTCATTAGGGGCATTTAAGCAGCTATTAGATAGGCATATGGCTGATAGTATAAGGTAGGGGTGGAGGTTAGATAGACCTTAGGATTAGGGTAAAAGTTCAGCACAACATCGTGGACCGAAGGGCCTGTACTGTGCTGTACTGTTCTATGTACTAATGTCCTTCAGGGAAGGAAACTGCCATCCTCACCTGGTCTCACTTACATGTGACTCCAGACCCACAGCAATGAGGTTGATTCTTAACTGCTCTCTGGGCAATTAGGGATAGGCAATAGATGCTGTCCTAGCCAGCGATGCCCTCATCTCGTTAACGAATTTTTAAAAATCACAAAGACGTAACATCCAACTGGATAAGAGGGAAGACAACTGGAATGTTGGCCTTTATTTCAAAGGGCATGGAGTATAAAAATAGGGAGGTTTTGCTTAATCTATACAAGGCACAATTCAGCCCACAACTGGAATACTATGAAGTTTTTGGTCCCTTAACCAATGACAGATATACTTATATGGGAGGCAGTCCAGAGAACGTTCACAGGCTGATACAGATATTGAGGGATTGTCTTATGAAGACAGCTTGAATGGACTGGGCCTGTACTCTTTGGAATTTAGAATAATAAGAGGTAAAAATATTGAAACATACAAGATTCTTAGGGAACTTAAAAGGGTACTTGTGGAGATGTTTTCCTCTGATGGGAAGGTCTAAGACCAGAGAACCATAATCTCAGTATAAAAGGTTGCACATTTAAGACAGAAATGAGGAGGATTCTTCTTCATTCAGAGGATAATTGGTTTGTGGAAATCTTTACTGCAGAAGTCTGTCGAGGCTGGTACATGCAGTATATTCAAGGCTGAGATAGACAGACTTTTAATCAGGGAGTGAAGCACAATGGTAAAAGGACAGGAAAGTAGAGTTGAGGGTTATCAGATCAGCCATGAATGGCATATCAGACTCGATGGGCTGAATGGCGCACTTCTGCTCCTGCATCTTAATGTCTTATGTTAACCCCCTGGAGCTAGAATCACTTTATGCTGGTTCCGGGAGAATTGAATGACAAAGAAATGGATAGCGTAAAATATCACTGTAAAGTGCGATTTTTGATTGTGTTCAGTTCTGTAGTTTAAAATACATTCAATAATTCATTAAACTTTGCACATCATCCTTTAAGCTGTTGATTAGAAATTCTAAGTTAATTTTAAAGGTCTCTACAGGGATTGTGACCTACTCAGAATGATCTGATATTGCATGGACCAAGTTCAATTCTGATTGGTGTTCTGTTAGCTGCTAATGACCAAAGCAACAGGGAGAACTTTATGATTGAGGGGGTGAGCATATCTGAACCAGACTGTGTCCACATACACTGTGTAACAATAGCTAGGATGATTACAACAAAGAAACCTTTGCCTGTGACTTTAGCCTGCCCATTCTCAGTTCGGATGCAAACACGTCTGCTGAGCACTTCCAATCTTCCTGCTTTAGCTTCAGCGTTTACATTTTTCTTTTCTTCTGTTCTTTATCCACTGTCGTCATTAGCTGCAGTAAACTTGATTAAATATTCCCACCATGACTTCCATTCCACATTGTGCATTTCAGGCTGCATTAATCCTATTTGCTCACTAATTCAGATACCACAACACAAGATAACCCACAATTGGCACAAGCTAGTGCTGAATTGCTGGGAGATAAAGAAAAAGTTAATCATCAGTTTGTGTGGGTGGGCTTTGAGGATTCAGATTACATTAGTTGAATATTTCTGTGCTGGTGATACTTGGTAAAAAGTAGAGATTAACAAGGTATTTGCCATGTGTTGCTGTGTGACAATGTTGTAAAGTTTTGTTCTGCAAAACTAACAGCTACTTTTGTAGAATTATGGGAAGTATAGCGTCGTGGGAAGTAATTCATTCCATGATGCCTGTGCCAGTGTTAGATTTTCAATTGGCATCATCTGTTCAAGTCCCAAGACCAGCTATTGACGTATATATACCCTTCTTAGATATTTTCTACTCAACCTGTTTGGAGATGACATTACACACCTATAGAGCAGGTGGGACGTGAATCTGGGCCTCCTGGCTCAGAGGTCGGGGCACTACCACAACATAAAAGTACCCCCCCATACATCTTTCTTCATTGATATTGTCGTCCTAACTCAATAACCACTTGTGGTAGAGAAAAAAAATACAAAAGAACTGCGGATACTGTAAATCAGGAACAAAAACAAAGTTGCTGGAAAAGCTCAGCAGGTCTGGCAGCATCTGTGGAGGAGAAAACAGAGTTAACATTTCGGGTCCGGTGACCCTTCCTCAGAACCCATAGTTCTGAGGAAGGAACTGAGGAAGAGTCACCGGACCCGAAACGTTAACTCTGTTTTCTCCTCCACAGATGCTGCCAGAACTGCTGAGCTTTTCCAGCAACTTTGTTTTTGCACATGTGGTAGAGTACTTCATGGTTAAGTAACTGTTCTAATAACTACATGAAAATAATTTCAAAGTCAGATGCCGAGCCACATAAGGAGATATCACATTAGATGATCAAAAGTTTTATAAAAGAGATGTGTTTCAAAAATACTTTAAAGGAGAAAATGTGGTAAGTGTAATTATCTAATTCTCTCTTGAGAGCCATGATTGAATCTGCTTCCACACACTCTCAGGCAGTGCATATAGAAGCAGTAATAGGCTACACCATTCCATGAACATTCTCCACCATTCAGTAAGATCATGTTTAATCTGACTATAGCCTCAATTCCACTGATCTGCCTGTTGTCCATAATTCTAGAGTCCCTTATAATTCAACAATCTATCCATCTCAGACCCCAACTTTTAAAATTTATTTCAGTGGATTTGGTTAGGTGGCTGGTTAGGTCAGCATTTATTGCCCACACCCAATTGCTCTTGAGAAGGTAGTAGTGAACCACTACAACCGTATGTTTTAGATAAATCCGCAGATAAACTCATAGAGTCGTAGAGGTGTAAAGCATGGAAACAGACCCTTCAGTCCAACTCGTCCATGCCGACCAGATATCCTAAATTAATCTAGTTGCCAGCATTTGCCTCGTATCTCACTAAATTCTTTCTATTTACATATCCATCCAGATGCCTTTTAAATGTTATAATTGTACCAGGCTCCACCACTTTCTGTGGCAGCACATTACATACATGCAGCACCCTCTGTGTGTAAATGTTTGTGATTTCCAGGTTTGACCCAGTGACAATGTCAATGTTCGAGGAAGTGAATAATGTGGTGGCTGGAGTGCCAGTCAGCTGAGTTGCCTTGTCCTGCATGAGTATCACTGAAGAGAAATCCAAAAATTCACAACCCTCTGAGAGAAGAAATTTTTCGTCATCACCGTAAGAGCTACCGCATTACTCCGAAACTATGCTTCCTGTTTTTTCAAATTCATTCATGGAATGAGGGTGTCACTGACCAGGCAGCATTTACTGCCCATGGGGCAGTTTAGAGTCAACTGCATTGCTGTGGGTCTGGAGTCACATGTAGGCCAGACCAGGTGAGGATGGCAGTTTCCTTCCCTAAAGGGCATTAATGAACCAGATGGGTTTATGGTCATATTAGATTCTTAATTCCAGATATTTTTATTGAATTCAAATTCCACCAACTGCCTATGGTAGGATTTGAATCTCAGTCCCCAGAACGTTATCTGGATCAACAGTCCAGTGACAATACCACTAGGCCATTGCCTCCCCTGAGCTAAGGGTTGAAGCTATGGGTTCTAAAGAAGGGTCACTGGACCCTAAATGTTAACTGTGCTTTCTCTCCACAGATGCCGCCAGACCTACTGAGTTTCTCCAGTAATTTCTGTTTTTGTTTCATATTACTTCTATCTTGCTTTGCTGTTTTGTGCAGATTCAAAGACAGGAAGCTTGTTATGGTTGTCAACAGATCTCTGACACATCAAGAGGGATACCCTTCAGTCAGGGGTCTGGCAACAGTAAGTCAAGGGCAACCTCTGGTACTAGTCCAGGCCTTGGACATGGTCACTTAGCCACGTGGGGGATTCAGCATCAGGATCTTCTCATAAAAGAAGAGACACTGAATGTCAGACAAGACCACCTGTCTTGACTCTTTCTGCCCAATTTTGGGTGTTTTGCTCCTGGAATGAGAGAGAGGTAGCTATTACAGAAGGTGAAACTGGGTGGCACAGCTGTTACTTTTAATGCAGGTAGGGGGGTGTCCCAAGCGAGTGAGCAGAGGGTATGCAGGGGTATTGGTGTCAGGTTAGGTTAAGTGACAGCAAGTAAGCGAAGAAGATGTTGCCGATGGTAATGAGAATAGAAGACCATGAGCTTTGATTGGAGGTGTGCACAGCAGCAGGGATAGAGAGATTGTGAGAAACTGGAAGAAGGCAGTGGCACTTGCAGTGACAGTGAGGAGGGACATTGACCTTCTTCCTAGAGTTCTGAGCAGTCCTCTAGATGGGTGAGACTGTGCGAAACTGGGTCAGGCTGGTATGGTCCTGGTTTGTGCCTCGTCCACACCACCATCCAGCGGGATCTCCAGATCCTTGCCCGCAAAGCATGGCACCGATCTCCCTGTGCCTGACATGTTGGGGCAAATGTCAGGAACTGTGCAGGCCAGTTCAGGATTGACAGTGTTTGTCCAGGTGAACATCGTGCTTTTAAAGATACAACAGGTGCCAGGTAATTCTGTAATATCTGCTAAGTGGCAACATGTTTTGGGAACAGCGCATGAGAAAATGGCACTGGAATCAGACATGAGGGACGGCGTAGGGGCTCTGGTAGATAATTCATGAGTGGAGTTCGGTAAGATACAGCAAGAAATCGCGTTAGGCCTTGTGAAGAAAATCCCTCCAAAACCTGATGCAACTCACACGTAGCCAAGAAAACACAAGATTCACCCCAATGATTCTGACATTGGTGGGTAGAATATCAACTGTAGGCTAATCTTACATTTTTTGTGTCAGTTATGTCAAGTTTGTTGGAAGGTTTCTCGCTGTGAGGCGTAGCAGGATCTCTTACCATATCTTTCCAGACACACATCAGTAACTCCTGATCACACACCTGTGGCTTCCCTCTTGTCCAATTTGAGCCCGATCTTGACATGCACCATTCCTGGAACAACTCATCCCTTACTAGATATCTGCCAAGAAACCAGCATCGCTGGCACCCAAGCCATCTTTAAGAGGCAGCTGTGCATCCAAACAAATATTGGCAGTCCAGTGTTGCCCCTCACCAGCAACGTAATGGCGCAGCAGCAGCAAACCAATAACAAAAACAAAGTTGCTAGAAAAGCTCAGCAGGTCCGGCAGCATCGGTGAAGGAAAGGACAGAGTTAACATTTCAGGTCTGGTGACCCTTCCTCAGAACAGTTCTGAGGAAGGGTCACCGGACCCGAAACGTTAACTCTGTTTTTTCCTTCACAGATGCTGCCAGGCCTGCTGAGCTTTTCCGGCAACTTTGTTTTTGTTCCTGATTTACAGCATCCGCAGTTTTTTCGGTTATTTGGCAGCAAACCGATACTGCTCATGGCACATAGCCAGCACGACTGACTCACCTTTGCACATGCGAACCTAATTTTTCACTTTAGTCAGTGTTTAATCACCAGGTCTCAGTTTACCTGTTCTTAGTTACATCCCATCTAAACACCCTTTACGAGACCACCACTTGTCCCCAAGCCTCACTGGAGACCTGTGCTGTGGGGAGCATCACATACAGGCAAGCAGTTAGACAGTTCCAACCATTTTCCAGTCACAGTTAACATCTAGAGAACAGCAACTGATGACAGGGAACACAATTTGCAATGGATACTGTCAGTATTGTATCCAGTGGTCACCAGGTACCCTCCTCTCCCCAAGCCTCCGTCCTTCCACAAGACCACACATAGTCCAGGGCTCAGCGTAGACAGTTATCACCTTGGGCCATTCGTGGTCAGGGAATATGTGTAATTACATTCCAGGGAATGGTCAGCAGTCAGTCGATGGGGCCGTCACATGCAATCAGGGAATTGCATGTCAGCCAGGGGGCTGCAAACGTAATGGTTGGGGTCTGTCTGGTCAGTCATGTCTTGGAGCTGCTTGTTGAAGTCAGCCAGAGGTCTGGGATGAATACTGGGGGTCTATGCTGTGATTGTTCAGAATGGTACAAGGTGGGCTGTAGGACCAATGTGTGATCACTTCCAAGGTGGGGGTGGGAAGCAGCCGCATGTGTTAAGGTGGCGACAAGGATGGTGATGGGGGTAAACTCAAGATATAAGGGGGCAGGTGGAACAGCATTGTAGAACATGGTAGGCTACAGGGAGTGGAGTATATTAACAGAGCCTACCATTGTGGCCTCACAAAAGAAGCATAGATGACTGAACTGGACATCATTAAGGTGTAAGGCTCAGGGACATGGAGGACAGTTGGAGATAAATTTCCATGTGATTAGTCTCCACAAGAGAGCTTTGAGTGGAAATGGGCTGTTGGGAAGATCAAGGTAAAAGGGAATGTGGAGGCTTGGGGAGAGGAGGGTACCTGGCAACCAATAGATATAATACCGATAGTATCCACTGCAAACTGTGTTCCCTGCCATCATTTGCTGTTTTCTAGATGTTAACTGCAACTGGAAAGTGGTTGGAACGATGTGCAAGTGGCTGGAGAGTCGGCATCAGTTGGGTCAAATTGCAGGATCCACATCTGCCAGGGGCTAAGAAGCAAAATCATGAAGCAGGTGTTTGTAAACTGCAGCCACGTTTAATTTGCAATCATTTCTTTGCCTGTTTGCAGTGCACATGGAGTGAACATGCTTCGAGTTCAAATACTGGCATATTGTGGACTATGCTAGTGAATGATGGAACTGGGATCCCCTGATGGAAAGTGTCCCCTGCCCCCTGACTAGACTGAGTAGTCCCCACCCACTTTCTGATCTGGTCAATTGGTTGAATAAAGGTGCAGTGCGTTTACCACGCATGCAGCTGGCACATGCTGTAGGGTAGATTGACATCTGTGTGCCATCCAGCCAGCTGGTTCCACCCTCGACCACCACATTTTGATCAGTGATCATAGTCAGATCAGCTATGATCTTATCGAATGATGGAGCAGGCTCAATTCCTATTTCTCTGTTCCTATTTCTTATGATCTCTGATCTTCAGGATATTAATGAAATATATGAAAAGAGCAGAGGATTGAAGTTAACTTGATTGTATCAATCCAGTTGGAGCAGTCTCAGTGGGAAGAGTGGTGTGCTTCACAGATCTATGATTCACATTGCAATGTACAGTTCGAAAACCAGTCCAACCAGTTGTAAAATCAGCAGATGACAGCAGTGATGAGAGACGAGCTATAAATGAGATAAACCTTCTTAAAATTGAAGCAACTTAACAGCAATCGGAGACACAGTTCTGAGTCTCACATTGCCAAGCAGTAGAGAGGCATAGTCCACGTTTGGAGAAACCCAAGACTTTAAAAACCATATTTGAGAAAAAAAAATCCAGTGCTCACTGATTGAAATATGGTCAGGAGATAATCATGTGTCTATGTAGATAACATTAAGTCTGCAGATTCAAAATGTAGTTAGTACTAAACTGCAGCATCAGATCCCAGCGATTTTAAATGGAAGAGTGGAGACTAAGGGAAAAAGGATGACAAGGTTCAAGGCGATAGGTGCAAACTGCAACAACACAGCATTAAAAAAATTGTGGATACTGGAAAACTCTGAAATAGAAATTGCTGAAAAGGCCAGAAATACTCCACACAACTCGCAGCATCTGTGGAGCGAGCAATAGAATAAACTTTTCAGGTTGATGACCTTTCATCTGAACTGGGAAATAATGTTAGAAATGTACAATCAGAATTTTACACGACAGAAGGAAGACAGTTGACCCATCATGTCTGTACTAGCTCCCAAAAGAACTACCCAGCTAATTCCATTCTCCAGCCCTATCTCCATAGCCCTCTCAATTCATCACTTTCAAATACGAATCCAGTTCTCTTTTGAAATGTCCGATGGAATCCATCTCTTCCACTCCCCCACGGAGCACATTCCAAATCCTAACAACTCTGAGTGAAGAAGTTTCTCCTCATCTCACTCCTAGCTGTCTTGCCGACAATCTTGAAATTGTGATCCTAGTTACTGACATAGCAACAATTGAAAACAGCATATCCTTCTTTATCCTGTTAAAATTGTTCATAATTTTGAACACCCCTATAAAGTCACCTCCTAATCTTCTCTGCTCCAAACATAATATGCTCAATTTCTCTACTGTTTCCTTGTATCTAAAATCCTTCGTTCCTGATATCATTCTAGTAAATCTCCTTTGGACTCTTTCCAGGGCTTTAGCATCCTTCCATAAATAAGGTGCCCAGACTGAACACAATACTCCAAATACAGTCTGACCAATGATTTGTAGATGTGATAGCATCACTTCCTTGCTTTTATACTCCATGCTTTTATTTATAAGCTCAAGAATCCTATAAGCTTTCTTAACAACTGTTTCAACTTGCCTGGCCACCTTCAGAGAATTATGCACTTGAGCCCCAAGGTCCCTCTACTCCTGTATTCCCCTCTAAGTTGCACCGTTGAACCTGTATTGTCTGTCTGTGTTTCGTCTACCAAAATGCATTGCCTCACATTTCTCTGCATTGTAATTCAACTGCGTGGTATTTCCCCATTTGGCCGACTTGTCAATGTCCTTCTGAAGTCATTTGGCATCATCCCCCGATTCACTATTCCCACCTAGCTTAGTATCATCTGCAAATTTAGAGACATTACTCTCAACAGTCATCTCCAAATTATCTGTATAAACCAGAAAAAGCTAGTGTTCAACACTGATCCCTGGAGAACACCACTTTCAACTTGTATCCAGTCTGAGAAATGCCCATCCATTCCTGTGTTTCCTATCTTTTAGCCAAAATCTAACCCATGTTGTCAAGGACCGATCAGTCCCAAGCATTTCTAATTTGCTAACCAACCTGCCATGTGGCACCATAACAAATGCTTTCTGAAAGTCCAGATGTATAACATCCACAGCACTACCCTCATCCACTGCCTGTGTCACCTCGTCAATGAACTCAATTAAATTTGTCAGACATAACTTGCCCTTGACAAAACCATTTTGACTGTCTAGCATTAGCTTATTTTCCTATAAATGTAGATTTATCTTATCCTGTACTATGGCCCCTGAATATTTTCCTACAATTGATGTCAAGCTAATAGGTCTGTAGTTTCCTGCATCATCTTTTGCCCCTTTCTTAAACAATGGCGTCCCATGTGCAATCCTCCAGTCTGCTAGCACAAATCCTGTATTCAGAGAGTCCTGGAAAATTTCCATCAACGACTCTGTGATTTGCTCCCTTACCTCTCTCAGGTTTTAAACAAGTCAAAGGGGAAAGATTGGGAAAGTGAATGAATTGGAAAGTCAGTAATAGGATGGAAGGTATGGGAAATTAAAGCTTGATGGTGCAGGGCAAAGGGAGTGCCACTGGAACAAGAAACAAAATATATTTCTAGAGGAGACAGAATCATGAACCACTGCTGCCCAAAAGAAAGAATTAGAAAACAAAGAGGCAAAAAAAACCTTGTCGAAAGAGGAAAGTACTTGCCATTGAGGGAGTATAGTGGAGGTTCACCACACTGGGATGGCAGGATCTGGTCAATGAGGTTAAAATGTTCCTAATGGTTATGATACTTGATCAGTAATTAGT